CTGGTTGTTTGCGGAACATAGTTCACGTTGAGTCTGTGCCAGCAAGATGATGCGGAATGACCTCGTTTATTGCATATTTGGCAGACAGAGGTTTGATCCGGAGCAGGTCTTGAGGACGATGATCCTCTGTTATAGTTTCTTCCTCTGTTTCTTTTGCCACGACTCCTTTGCGTATAAAGCGCGAGAGTAGGATCGGACGACGCGCTAGACCGCGCATTTTCAGCAGCTATATTTATTTCTTCGCTGAGAAGAAGTGGGTAGAGTTGATCAAGGGATATCGGTGTGATCATGGTACGGATTGCAGTTTTGAACGCTTGAAATGATGCTGGTAACCCGTTCAAGATGTAGAGGATTATATCCTCTGTATCTATTGATGAGCCGGCGGACGCAATCTGATCAACGAGGGATTTGATATCAGACAGATATTGCGTCATTGTGGTTTTCATAGAAATGTGGTGAAGATCGTTCTTTAATTGGATTACTTTAGAACGATTTGATGATTGAAATCGGACTTCAAGAGTATGCCATATGGAGGAGGTGGATTCAAGATTCACAATGTATGGGAGAATAGACGCGGATATGGTGGAGCAAATGGCGGCGGCAAGATTTTGGTCGGTGAGAATCCATTGATCGTAGAGGACATTGGGTGCAGTAGATCCATCTGCTTTAGTCAAGAACTGGTTTGGAGGAGAAGACAGAGGATCAAGGAATTTTTCAAACCTGTTTGCCCTCAGAAGTTTGATGATTTGCGATCTCCAGAGGCTGTAATTGTCAGCGGAGAGGGGAATGGGGACGATATTCTTGAGATTGGAAACTATGAATTTCAGCGATGATGGAATAGTAACTTCTTCTTGCGTTACTTGTTCCATTTGATCACCGGTTTGAGAAAATGAAGAACTGTTCATGGCTGATGCTTCTTCTCCCCCCGCTCTGATACCATAAAGAAGTTGTCTTCTTTAAGAAGTACAAGAACTCATGATAACAGGAGAAGAGACAGTAAATGAAAATGTATTATTCAGCTTGCCATAATGAGCCTAGGTACATCCTATATATAGATACAAGAAATGTAAACAGACCAATATACAAGTTACACGTGTACAGCATATCTTTATTAACAGATTTATATATATGTTCTATTAATGTTAAATACTTTTTCTTATGTATCTTTTTTGTACTCTTTTGCTGTTTTTATCTCCCCTTTTAGGCAATATTAAAATGTTTGGAGCTATTTTATTTTATTTTTTCAAATCAAAGTCTCTCTAAATTCCAGATTTTGATGAAGTTTTTTATAGGCAAAATAATTAAAATCCTTACATTAAAAGGCTGATTTTTTTTTTCTAAGAAATGTTTTTTAAGAAGTATTTTATTATACATCAAATATTTTAATATCTATTTAAAGCAAAGAATGGCAAATTAATACGTAAAATTTAATGCTGTATTAAAGCAGTAAACAAGGTAGAAATGTAAAATTATGCATTTTATTGTGAGAGTTATACAATTAATTAATAATTTACAAATTTAAATATACACTAAAAATAGCTCATTAAAATTTTTTTTATCACTAAACTTTCAAACGAATAAAAATCTTTTGATATTATGACCATAAAATTATCCCACATAATTAATTTTTTTTAATAATATATATATTAACTATATTTAATTTGCATATGGCTTAATTAAATGAATTTAAAATTAAAAAAAAAACAATGAAAAAAACGTTGAATTTGATGAATAAATTTTTTGTAACATTAGATCTTGTAACAATCATTAAAATAACACATATCTATTATTTATAGTAGGTAAATATAATTTTTTGATATTTATTATTATTATTATTATTTTATTCTTTTCTATTGGCTATATATAAACCTCCATTAACATATAATTTAATTCAATAAATCACCCTGTAATTATAACTTCCTCACTTAATCATCTCTTTCTCTATCCCTTCTTGATCATTAGCATCAATTTGTTGTGTATGAAGAGTTAGCTTTGAGAAAAGTCAGCATAGAATATATAAACTCCTCTTTTGTTCTCCTTCTAAAGCTATTTGATTTTCTTGATCCAATAGTTTTAAGGTGCAATCATCTTTTGTGCTAACACACGAGGATACAACAGCTACAAATGAAGAAGAAAGCCACCATCTTTTATCATTCCTTATTACTTCAACTAGAGTAAGAGGAAGATCGTCAATATCATGTGTGAGTGACTATTTCTAGAAAAAAGATAGAGAAGGACCAGTGTGAAGGTTAACGGTGGCGCGCGCGCCGGTCTCTTCGCCTCGAACGCCGCTGCTAATGAATTCAAAATTAGTAGCACTGGAGCTGGATATTAGTTACAACCTTTAGGAATTTCTAGTCATTTGTCTTCTTATGATGTTTTTGATCAATAATTTATGGTATTTAGAGTATGAGTTCCATGGAACTCTAACATCTAGGTGCAAAGGGAGATCAAAATGATATGAAAGAATGTGTTTTAATGGGAATATTGAGATGTAAAGGAACTATTATTTATATGAACTGATTTACAAGAGAATCTATTAAAAGTCAATGGATTTAGGTGTGGAAGAGAAAGGAATTTCACATTTTTCTCTTCACTCCACCCATGCTCCCTCCCACTACGATCTAATTTGGGACAACTTTTTTAATACTTTCTATAAAATTTTTTAGTGTGATTTTTTTTTTATTTAAAAATTTTTATATCAAATAACTGCTTTTATACAGCAATAAAAAAACTGTCCCAAATGAAGCTTATGCAATCAAAGTCATTTGTCATTTTTTTTAAGAAGGGCCTTATTATAAATGCAATTACCATACATTTTAATATCTATTTTTCAATAATTTACAACTTAAAAATTCTAATTAATACATAAAAACATGTATTTAATGCAATTATTTTAAAAAGGAAAACTTGATAATGATCTTAAGTTATGCTTATACACATTTATTTCTCCCATTAAAAAATAACAATATTAATTTACATGATCTTTTAAAAATTAAGAAAATTTAAAGTTAAAAAAGCACTGAGATTAATGGAAGAAATGTTGAATCGAAAGAATAAGCACTTCTGGGAATATAATTAGATCCAGTGATACTGCTTGTCCTTATAAAACTTAATTCTGGATGATGCGTGCTGAAGCCAGCAAGAAAAATTCAAAGTAAATTAATATTCATAATACAAAATTTAGGCTTGTAAATCATATTTAAAAGTCAGATTTTCCATTTGTTTTTTCTAACTTTTTTTTTTTTTGTTAAAACCCACTGTGAGGCCTACGCGTTAATATCAAAAATTCGGTTACAAAATCCTTAGAAGGATCCTCCAGCTCGCTAGTGCTCAAAAGAGCTACATGATAAAAAGAAATAAATCCTAAGGGCCGGTGATTCCTTTATGCAAATTATATGACTTTTTCTAATATTATTTAAAAGTCAAAGATTTTCCATTTGTTTTCTCTAACATAACATAAACAATAGACCTATAAGACATATAACCAATTATATGACTTTTAACACTGAAAATGTTTGACTTTCTATACCTAAATCCTTTTAAGTAAGTTAATGAATAGATTAGTTTGTAAAGTAAGGATTAGGAGAGTTTAATTATATTCTAGGAAATTATAATTAAGTAAATTAATATTAACTACCAATAGGATAAGAAAATTAAGTTAATTAACATTTTCGATATAGGTTAATTATAATATATGATTATAGCAAACAAATTCAAATAAACAAGAAAGATTTATTTTGCTTCCATGTGAGTTTAAGGCTTCATTTGAGGAAGCTTTTTTTTGTTGCTATTTTTTGTTGTTTAAAAAAAAAAGTTACTAGAAATTATTGTAAAAAGCAGTAAGAAAACTATTCCAAATGAAAATTAAATACAACTTTTAAAATAAAATAAGTAGGATATATTTCTAATATTTAAATCTGCATGATCACTTTAGGTGAATTTAAGATTTATGTAGGGTTTAATTTTTTGATCAAATTTTTTAGTCACCTTAGGTAAATTTTATTTTCTCTGGATTTCAAAAGTTTAAGTTTTTTTTGTTATTGGCTTTTAACATATTTAACTCCTGCAATATATATATAAACTTTATCTTTCTCTTAATACCAAAAGGATTTGCAAAGATATGGAAGAAATGCTTATTTCTGTTTACATAAGTTAATGTTAATCATATATTTTAATGCAATTTTTAGATTACAATATTTAGATGTTACATATAAATATATTAATATTTTATGATATGTATGTAAATTTTTAAAAAATATAAAGTAAAGTGAGTTTTTAAACAATAATAAACTTAATATATATTTATGTTTTAAATGTTTGAGTGTTTAAAATTAGAATGTTATATAAATAAACATAAGTATTTAGATGTTATATATAAGTACATTAAAATTTTATGACTTGTATGTAAATCCCTCAAAAATATAAAGTTTAATGCCTTTCTAAATTCCTATAAACTTAATATTCATTTATATTTTAAGTGTTATGATTGTTTTAAAAAATAACTATTATTATTAGACATCATCATCACTGGCTGGACCTCTGGACCCAACACCAGTGATACTGCTACCATTGAACTTCACCATCAGAAAGAGCTTTGGTTATCAACTAAAAGATCTTGAGTTTAAATTTTACTTATAGAATGTGTGTAGATTTGTCTTTATTGGCCTAAGTTTGTCTTTATTGACCTAAATTTAAATTAAAAAAAAAAAACTTTCAAAACAAAAATTGAGAGAGGGAAGTAAAAACAGAAATAATGGAGATAATTATTTAAGGGGAAAAAAAAAAAGAACAGTAGCATATACTTCCTTTGTCAGTTTTTTCAGTCACAACTCACGCCTGCATCATGCATGTACTTGCCCTATATAACTGTATAAACAGGTTCTGTCCCCTCTTCCAATATTCCATAAACAAACAATCCATTCTTCTTCTTCACTCTACCATATATAAACTTTTCTTTCAACAAACAGACAAAAAGAAATTAAAAATTAACACAAAATAGTGAAAATACTAAGAACATAATAACATAAAAAATAATAATTATGAAGGTATCTAAATAGTGAAGAAATTAATTAAAACTGTGTATTTGGGAATAAAATATATGATGTTTTTATTTCTGTAAGATACTTCTTCAAAGGTCTTGCCATTATTAGCCTCTCTTTGTTACTCCAAAAGAGTTCCCTCCATCCCACCCAAACATATTAAAGGGATCCATGGTCTTCTTGTCATTCTTCTCCTCATCAAGGCTCATTGAATCAGCATCTAGTACAGCCAAATCTGCAAAGAAATCATCAGGCTCGAGCTCTTTTAAGCTCTTATGGAAGAATACCTGGTTAAAATCATGATGTAAGTGTTCAACCACAGTGCTGTTCTCCATGTCCTTTCTTTCTTTTACAAATGGGAAACTTGAGCTTATTGGACTGATTAATTTTGCTTCTTCTTCTTCTTCTTCTTCTCTAACTGTAATGCTTTCAGAAGGTAGCTTTTGATTAATAGAAGAACTCTTTGAAGAAGATGCATTATTATTGTTGTTTTTAGAAGACTGAGATCTTGTGGATCCTGCAAGAGCGTTTCTTTGAGTAGGCCATGGATGATTATGATCTGAGGTGTAAGTGATGACTAACATGTTTGGATCTGTTCGGCTACGCTCTACTTGTTTCCTTGCTGAGCATCCTTTGGAACTGCTACATCTGTAATAGCCTCTGAATTGTGTGCATAGAAAGAGAAAAATAAAAGAAAATACAAAGTTGAAATATACATAGTTAAAAAAAGAAAAATGAAAGAAAAACAGTAAAATATAGATTAATTACTCAATCTTTGGCATCACATTAATACATTAATATCAATCCAGAACGTGAAGTACTAAGTGGTCTCTAATTTTGTACAATCTGGCAATGCCAGTATAATTAACAAAGAACTTGACTAGCCTATCAAACGGCTTCATTCGGTTTTGATTCCTAATAAAAGCCAATTAATAATCAAGTTTGAAATCTCCAAGAAGATGAAAATGGTTGAGATAAGGTCATATATCTAAGTTTTCACTGGACATAAATGTGTACATATCACATATTTTACTCTATTAATTAATCAATCTAATCAGAAGATCATCTCAACATTTTCTCTATATAGAAAATACGCAAGAATGCTAATACTAAGTTAAGTGTTGCAGAGATGAGGATGCTCACGTGGATGAGTGGCTTTACCCTTAGAGATAGGATAAGATATGAGCATATACGTGAAAAGGTTGGAGAAGCACCAATGGAAGATAAGATTAGAGAGAGTCGTCTTAAATGATTTGGTTATATAACGGCGGCCTTCTGATGACCCAGTTAGGAAAGTAGAGGTATTAGATTTGACTTATGTTAAGAAATTAAGGTAGATGTAGATCTAAAAAGTCTTGGTTAGACAATATTAGAAATGATCTTTCTTTATTAGATTTAAACGAGAATATGACTTTTAACAGGATAAATTGGAGAAAAAGGATTCATGTACACATAGTGGGACAAAGGCTTGATGTTGTTGTTGTTGTTGTAGAAAATACGCAAGAAGGCTAGCTAATTTCTTCTTAAATTTAGCCCTTCCTTCTAAGTTCCTGCTTTTAATGCATATATCAGGTCATCTACCATAGTGTAAGAGATCGAAGGCACAAAGAGAGAGAGATAGATAGCTGGGAGAAGCCAGAAACTGCGCGCACAGTGTAGAAGGAAAGGAGAGCTCTACTTTGGTTTACAAAACATTTGTCTATTTTCTTCTCTCTTTGACTTCAGTGCCAGTACCTCCGAGCTCAATTGCTTCTGCTCTCATAAAATAAAGGAATGGAAGATTTTTTTTTTTTAAAAAAAGCATTAATATGTTTCCAACTGTTTGTACTGCAATACGATTATAATAAAAGGACCAAGTATTCATGTTGATGAAGAAATTAAACTACCTTGGATAAGGAGAACCTTTGATTGGCTTCTGTCCATACTTCCTCCAAGCCCATAAATCAGAAGGAACTACCTCTCCCCCTGGCTTATTGCTTGCCACAGCTGGTGCCGGTATGCAAACCACCTTTCTTGCCTGGTTTTTCCTGATCACACATAAGCCATAGCATAAATTAACCAAATGAAAAAAATAAATAAATAAATAAATCTAATTAACAAAGATTCAAAAGTATCCTTGGCAGTATTAGTTTAACTTAGGATAAAAGAGATCCAATCTCTTTGTTGCGTGTGTGCTCTATTGTCTAAACCTTTTTAGCTGAGATCTATTTTGTTGTTATACAAGAAGAAAAGTTGGAATTCCTTTCTGTTTCAGACCTAAATCCACTGACTTCTAATAGATTCTCTTGTCAGTGATCAATTCTGGTAAAGAATAGTTCCTTTACCTCTCAATATTCCCATTAAAGCACACTCTTTGATCTCATTTTGATATCCCTTTACACCTAGATGTTAGAGTTCCATGGAACTCTTACTCTAAATACCATCAAATATTCAAATATCATAATAAATCATAAAACTAAAAATTGCTAAAGGTTGTAACAAATATCTAACTTGAACGTTTGGTGCTACTAATTTTGAATTCATGAGCAAACCTTCTCTTGACCGCCGGCGTTTGAGGCAAAGAGATCGCCACATCGCCGCCAACCTTCATCGTATCAGTGAGTCCTACAAGTGGCGGCGGCTGCCGGATCACTGTTATAGCCATGCTTGAGAGGTTGTTGCTGGGTGCAGTCTTCTCCGATGAGCCGAAGAAGCCCGTTCCCGCCAATTCGTGCAACATCGGGTCTTTGATGTTGGCAAAGTTGTCTAAGAAACAGTTATTCTGCAATGGCAAAGCAGTCGCCGGATCAGGAGATGGCTGCCAGGTGTGATCAGTGATGGTGGTTGGAATGTCGGCAGCCACCGCTGAGCCGGCGAGGGCGGCGCCGCGGCTGCCTTGAAAGATGTCGGTGAGATCTCCCTGGCTGTTCTCCAACCGTTTCCAGAAGTAGTCACACATGATCTTGATCTTGGTCTAGCTGAAGTATTAAGGAATGATGAAAGCTGAGATCTTTCTTCTTCTTCTTCTTCTTCTTTGATCTTCTGTGTTAGCAGTAGAGGTTGTTGCACCATCAAACAATTGGATCCAAGCATCTAAGTTGTTCCTGTGACTTGTTTCTTTTGACATATCCAAGCATGGAGAGGAAGATTGGAGGAGTAGGACATGAGTAATTGGTATTTTTTTTTCAGTAGGAAGATTGAATAAAGAACTGATCAAGAACTGTTAACAGATCAAGGAAATAAAATAGCTTTAGGAGGAGAACGAGGCAGGAGTTTATATATCCGATGCTGACTTTTACGAAGGCACTTCTCCCTACGCAACAAACTGAGGCTGATGCCTAAATGGAATAGATGAAAAGCTTATTAAGCTCTGCAATAATACCAATGGTAAATGTAAATCTTGTACAACTAATATATGTAAAAAAACGTTCAAGAATATTTTGATTGGTTTTGTATTATGATACAAAGATAAAAATTTAAAATGTTTAAAACTATTATATAGGTAAATAAATAAATAAATAAAAATTTAAATTTGATTGGGACACTACAGGAAAATCACTTATTACCGATGGAATTTTACGGCGGCTTGCCGGCGGTCAGTTTTCCGGCGGCTTTCCGGCGGATTCCCGGCGGCTTCCCGACGACATTTTTCCCACAAAATTTTCCGGCGGCTTCCCGACTCTTATAGATAGAATGTGAAACGAGCATATACATGAAAAAGTTAGAGTATGTAGCTCCAGTGGCAGATAAGATTAGAAAGAGTCACCTCAGATAGTTTGGTCACATAAAACGCCAGCCTTTGAAGACCCTATTAAGAGAGTAGACATGTTAAATGGGTAGATGTAGACCTAAAAAATCTTGGTTAAAAAATATTAGAAATGACCTTTTATATTAAATTGAAATGAGAATTTGATTCTTAATATGACATAATGGAGAAAAATGATTCATGTAGTCGACCCCACATAGTTGGATAAAGGCTTGATATTGTTATTATTGTTATGGCATCAAGCCTTGTTCCTTTAAGTGGTTTTATTAAAGATATGAGTATTATCATCTATTGGACAATTAAGGTTTCATTAAAATTTTTAAAATAAGTTTTCAGTATATAAATTTTTTTTTTTTTGAATTAAAAATTTTTGTAATAAAAAGTTGCTTTGGAAAGCAGTACGAAAGTTGTCTCAAATGAAGCCAAAGACGATCCAACAAGTGTATTGAATAATAGTTTGAAAATATTATGAAAGTCTCATTCTGACAAGAGTAGAATATATTATAATAAGATTAAATGTTTTTGTATGGGATATAATAATAAGTTTTTCTATACACAACAAAAATTAGGGTTTAGTGCTACAAAAAAGTCATCATGAAGCATTACTATTTCTAGTATTCTTTAAGTGAATCATCAAATAAAAATCATAGGGCTATCAATATTTGACACGACTCGAAAACTTGACCCAAAAAACTCGGGTTGGACCTGACCCGTTTGAAAAACGGGTTGGGTTCGGGTTCGCAGATTCGACCCGTTTGAAAAAATGGGTCGGGTTCGGGTTGACCCGGCGGGTTTCCCCATTTAATTTAAAAAATCCCGCGCTGCTC